ATATATATATATATATATATATATATATATATATATATATATATATATATATCAGACCGCATCCCCGCCCCTCCTGCTGGGACCCTGTCAGGCTCAACCAGTCAATGTAATATCATCACAACAGGGCAGCTGTTTGGAAATAGCATGGGTCAATATTTTCTGTCACAGCATGTTAGTGGCTGATTATGACAGAAGAAACGAATCCAAACATTTAACAGGCTACAGTCGTTACATTAAGGTCTACCCGGAGATCATTACGCGCAGATAACGCACTTAATCGGGTGCGTAAAATCGGAGCCCCATCACTCAGATAAAGTGGATCCAACCATTTTCCCACTCCCGAGGTGGCGACATCTTTAGCCGATGGCGACGCACCTTGTAGTTGTTCCCGTTGTTATTGTCCCAGAATTCGTGTCCGCCGACACAGTATTTAATGGCGAACTGCAAGGTGCCCCCGTTATCTAAGTAGGTGGGCATGACAATCTTGAAGCTGAACTTGTCAGTGACGCCGTCGCTCGAGTCTGGAACGTAGGTGGCCAAGCTGTCCATGAAGGTTATCCAGTTGTTCAGGGAATAGCGCAAAGAGACGCTCTTCTCAAAGGCCAGATTCAAGACGCGCACAAAGCCGGAGAGGGTGAAGTCGTCCGTTTGCACCGTCTCCAGCAGCACCTTCACCTCTCTGACTTTCTGCTCGAAGTCGGGTAGCGTGCCTGGGTTTGTGAACTGCAGCTCCATGAACACGGACTGCGCGGGAGCGCGGGGGAACTTTGTGTCAAGGTGATGGAGCGTCGCCTTGGGCAGCTTCGCCAAAATGCGCTCCGGCACCTCCGGGTCGTCCGCATCGTCGAAGTGCTTCACAGTGATGAGCTCCAAGCCCAGGGAGTCAGCGAAGCGCACCTTTTTCTGACTGGTCGGACTTCTGCTGCGTGCGATCTCCAACTTCGCTCTCTCCATAGGCGTAGGGAGCGATTTGCACCTGCGGCGGAGATTCGGGCTCTGCGGGGTCTTGAGAAAAATCTCCCTGCCCCGTGGCCTCTCGTCCACCACCGGGTTCTCCATGGGTTCACACGAGCCGTTCATCACATCACACTCCTCTCCATCCTCCAGTCTCGGGTTGGCCGCGGTCAGGCTTCCGAAGAGCCCCGCGATGCAGCTGTAGTTCCTCGGGAGGCAGTTCTTCGGAGGCAGCATTTCCACGGATGGGACGCACACACTGGGGCTTTGCTTGAGCGCCAGGGCGACCTGCACTGCAGAACCGAGCTGGTCGTGATGAAGTACACCCGGCGAGTCAAGACATACAGTGCTCAGGTATCAGTGTCCCCCTCGCGGATAGGTGCTCCTGTTGCGTCAGATGCTGACACTCCGCAGCTCTGGACCAATTAACCGAGCGATTGTTGTTCCGCAGCTGAGAGCTGGACTGCAGCTGCGGGGAGACGGCAACTCGAGCTCACGTTCTGCTCAATGAAAAGCAGAAACAGAGAAAGAGAGAGAGAGGAAGAGCAAGTAAAAATCGTCAGTAACAGCCACTTGCATTTTAAAGAAGTAAGCTAGCATTCCTTTCAGAGAGCTACCTTGCATGAATTGAGCGTACTGACGTACACGACAGCCTACGTGCAGAAGTTCACGTATCAACTGACCAAAATGGTTTCCTCCTTCTGAAGCAACAAAACCTGTTAACTTCCCCGTTATTAAACGCAGCTCCGCCCAAACACATACGCAATTCAAAAATATATTATTCACATCTAAAGGAGCTTTCTGCTCTGTTCGAGAGTTCCCGACGCATGCGTAAATCCAAACTCATAAAATTAGTTTTGTATTTAATTGAACTGTTTGATTAGCCTGCCGCCTGACATTCACCCCTCACATGCTGTCGGTGTAGTAATTGTATATTCTAGTTGCTGAGGTTATTGCTGCGTCGTTCCCTGCCCTTCCGTGGTCCCAACGTCACGCTCTCCCCGTTACCATGACGACGACACCGCTGCTCTCTGAAGGCATTCACAACTTCCTCCGCTGCAGTTCAGGAGTAAACACGTCTAGTAACGGCATGCTATTCTGAGAGGTTAGTGGACTGACGCACTCAAAATGTTAAAAGGAGTCAGTGTGAGTGTTTTTGGTGAGTTTGGTTAGTAAAAGCTTTGGAATTGTATCTTGTGTTAACCCGAAACAGCACTTGATTATACATATCGCATATCAACTCCTAAGATGCACCACAAGTTAACAACAATGACGAGGAGGAGCAACACAAATATGACAAGGCAGCAATAGACATAGAAGACTTGGAGTCAAAGCTTTTGGAGATGCCAGAGAGGAAACATATCGATGCCCTCCTAGATATTAGCGAGCAGAGCTTCATGAGAGACCTAGAACCACATGAGTGGCATTGTTACCCCGGTTGGGAACATGCTGTAAGTAATCTTTATGCTTTTAAAGAGTATATTTGTGAAAATGCGTGTCCCCTGTCCTTCTGCTTGTCACATCTAAATGCTTCAAACTATGACATAATGATACCTTGACTTTCAAATTACAGTTTCTGAGAAAAAAAGGTTACCCAAACCAATCTGAATCTATGTTAAAAGATTTATCACTTTTTTTTTGTTTGTTTTATTGACTTTCCACACTTAAGCGTGACTTCTCTCACATCAGGTTGGTTAAACCTTAAAATAGCCAGTTTTCAGTTGCTGAGCATCAGCAGATTTCTTAGTTATTTATTAGTTTTTTTGAAACTCAAACTATGCTTCAAGCCTTTTAACAACCTCTCCCCTGGATTAAGTTCCAAAGTTTGGCCTGATAATTTTCCAACACTAACACCAGTCCTTTACAGGTCTGTGGCTTTTTTTTTGTGTACTTACTGCTTGGTGTACTTTCTTTTCAAACCACTTAAACACTTCCTCGAGACTAATGAAAGCCAGAGGGCTGAAAGGGGATTTTCTGCCAGTGGTTGTGCTCAAAACCCTGTAGATGTAATTTTGTAATTCTTTCAATTATTTTTTAAAATACTTTGTCAGATTACATACCTCGAGCCAAGATCTTATTTTTCTTGTTCATCTGCTTTAGTCCTGGAGAATCTGTCATAATCTAAATCGGCTAGAGAAATAATAATAATAAAAATAAAAAAAATCTAAGTGATAGTCTGACTTGTGTATCTCCCAAAAATAAATAATACAATTTTTAACTAAACCTGGTTGACATTTTCACTTCATCTGGTGAACAATTAGTGAATCCCTAGTTGTTATCCCCTGCGCATTTTAGATAAATATATAAATCAATAATTGTCCATTGCTTGCATTATTAGATCAAAGATAGAAATACATGTATGCACCTTTGAAAGATATGAACATTTATATTTAACTATAAGTTATTATTTAAATAGGAGAGGGTCAAGGGGTTACAGGAAATTAGTAAAATGACCAAAATGCATTTACACTATTAAAACCTTCACTTGGCAACACTCGTGCTTTGAAAAGTTTCATACATCATTTCTTTTCGTTGGAGTAATTTATTTCATAGGTTTTATGTCTAGACATAAAACCATTGCTCAGTTTAATCTCAAATCTGGTTTTACAACAGGTCCACAGTTGGGACAGAGTCTCTCCTTTGTGCTGCGTAATGATGAATCAGAAGGGCCAGGACATGGCAAAGCAAAAGGAGGCTGAAAGCCCGGCCACTTCGGGGACCAACCGAACGCCCCCTAAAGTAGGCAGCACAGCCAGCCTGATGGAGCAGCACTGCAAGCCGAATACGGGCCAGCCTAACGTAAAGGAAGCCGCATCGCCGAACCATCAACTAGGACCTCAAGATCAAGCAACGTCACCTCGCCACAGTGCCACTCAGAAATCTGTACCCGGTTCCTCGGAGAAGAAATGGGTGGCACGAGAGACAAGTCCAGTGCTTCGCCACACCTCACAATCTTCTCCGCCAGAGAGCAAATCCTCGAAAGCTCAGAAGCACACTGTTAGGCACGACGTGACAATGGTTCCCATCAAAAACTTCAAATTTTTACCTCCTATCAGTTCACTCCAGAAAGACAACAAAGGCAAGAAGACGGCAGATGCAAAAAGTCTTTGCAGGCTCGAGAAGGGGATCAAAGCAACTCGGACAGGACTGAATGCTACGGCTAACTTAGAGCGTCCCGTTTCCTCCTCAGCCTCAAATGACAGCCATCAGCAGCGCCAGCAAAGCCCCAACTTGTCCCTCAGTGGTTGTGTTTCTGTCCCAAACAGGAGGAAATCATCCATATCTCCCAGAATGGACACATTGCATCCCACGGTGTACTCTCTGGGGAAGAACATGCCACGAGGCATGATTCAACCCCTGGTGCCTGCCAAGAGTCTGCTCATCTAGGAATAAGAACTTTGTGTGTTGCGAGGCTTTTGGAACAAACGTCTCATCACTGACGGTTAAATTCAATCAAATAAATGCATGGAAAGTTTAAGTGTTTTATTATACACCGACGGTCCTTTCTCAGTGCTTCCGATGGCTCCACACTGACTGTTTCTGTTGGTTATAATGAATTTTGTGTGCACAGCTATTATATTTCATACCTATTTAGGCGTTAAATGCAATCTGAAACCACCAATGTGTCTGGTGAGCGGAGCACAATATCTGCTGTCCCAGTGCAGTGGAATATAATGCTATTTTAAGTTGTGTTGAGAGTTGAAGATGAGCTGCAGAGGGAATTAAGGTTAATGATAGCATATATACTGCTAAAAAAAATGAAGGGAACATTTCACTTTAATTTTGTGTGTGGCTCCAAATCCAGGCCTCCATTGGTTAATAAATTTGATTTCCATTGATGATTTTTGTGTGATTTTGTTGTCAGCACATTCAACTTTGTACAGAACAAAGTATTCAATGAGAATATTTCATTCATTCAGATCTAGGATGTGTTATTTGAGTATTCCCTTTATTTTTTTGAGCAGTGTATATATTTAAGTACACTTAGGAAATATTATGCACTAAATTTAATTGTTTGCAATTTTAAAGGCATTAGAATAATACTCATTTTTACAGTTTGTGCCTCTCAAGACTAGTAAATTAGATCAATAACTATAAAAATGTTTTTTCGGATTGAATAGGTCATCCACATTTGCTTCCTTAAGAACCATCTGGCACCATTAACAGTTAGACAGCTGCTGATGATGAAGCTGTGGCAAGCTGTAGGAGGAAAGCAATATGTTTGCTGCTTTCCATATCCTTAATATCTACTACAAGCAATAATCAACAGGAACAAAATGGTCTAAATTAGCCTCTGAGAGCCGACAGTGACAACTGCTCCACTGCGACTGGTTTAAGATATTTTCTAAATTCTGGAACATTACCAGTACCGGTGCAGTTGTAATCGACATAGGTGTCATAAAAATAACACGTTTGCAAAATACCTTTATAACACAAAATAAATACAAAATGCTTCCTTCCCATCTGCAGTTATGTTTGAAAAGACAAAGAACATTTCCTTTAAAGGACACCCTGCCAACCCAATGGGTTTTCTTTACTAGGCGAATGTAAAAATGTTTTAATGAATCAAACAAAACATTAAAAAAAATACCTCAAAGAAACAAGCAAAAAAACAAAAAGAAAGATAAAGACAGGAGGAATGTGAACAAGAAACAGCTACTTAATATGTAAACCTGCATACCACATCCTTTGGTCCAAGCTGTATTTTTCCTCTAATTTCTTCCCATAAGTGCTTTAACAGCTGTTCTTGTTACCTGGCAGCAATGCAAAGAGACCCAATGAAAAGTCCAACTCACTTCCTGATTCAGTTTGTGGCTTTATTAAATATTATATTAAAATCATCTAAACTTTAAAGCCACGCTGATCCTCTTGATGCCAACTAGGTGGTACAAATCAGTATGAACATTTGGTTAAGCTACATTGAAAATACTTTTATCATAATAGTAAAGGAAAATAGCTTTCAATTTTGGACTTTCAATTTAACAATTATTTTAATCTAACTTGCCAACTGTTTATTTCTATAACTCAGGCTATTGTCAGTTGTACTTAGTTTTATTTCAACAATTCAATTCAAATAGTCAAATTCATACAAATCCACTACCAAAAATGTAGTTTTCTAGAAAGAAATTGAGTATTAAATAAAGTCAATAAGGAATGTTTTTTTTTTTAAGGACATATTGGAAAGCACGACTCTGGTGCTTTGATTTCCAAATAGAATGCCAATAAATAATATTCATCTTAAAAGAGGAGTTAATACAGAGCAATAAATAAACAACCGGTCAACTGTTAAGTTGTAGTCTTCAATCTATCAATGTGTGCAAAGCATTTCTACATATGATTAATTAATCATGTAATATTCTAATTTTCTGGGATTTGTTAGATACAAGCCAAATGAAAATGACCAGTAATACTGAAAAAAAAACCCATCAGTGTGTGTAATACATACACAAGTTTGACTTTCTGAATTGAATTACTGACATAATAAATCAGACTTTTAAAGGTTGAGTTTCACCCTAGAGCTGCAACACCCAACAGTCTAGAATTAAATATGCACAATATCATGTGCATATTCAATTCTAGACTAGATTGGAATTTCAGTCAATCTAATTTTTGCACAAAACAGCCTTGTTAAATCATTTGCTTGTAAGGTTTCCATCGTGCATCAGTCAACTACTTTAACATGCAGCTCTCACAAAGCTTTTTATGACT